AAATCATTTGCATCAGTTTCTTGGTGTCATTCTAATGCAATTCGTGGCTGATTCATCTAGCGGATTTCAAACGTGCTCTAATTACAAACGTACATCGGATAACTACTAAAGAAAAAATGGCTCCATTTTTTTTTTCAATAAATATAGCCTAGGGTAAATTCCAGGAACGCGACGCGTCTTTTCGTTTAATGCTAAATAGAAAAGCCAGTCTGCGTATGGTTTGTAGTGCACCACACCATCAGATCACAATTTTCAAGCAACAAATCAGGGGCGTACGCAGGACTTTCCATCGCGGAGAGGGTGAGGCGTTCCTCAGCCAGTCCCTCTCCCGCGCCACAAACTAAGCTTCGTTTGTCAGGACCCTTTTGTTAAACACATCAGTGTTTCATCTGCGGAATCTTACAGCGCGGAATTACAGAATTATTTCGTTATTGTGACTGACTTCTTAAATAATTGTTATATTATTAATATACGCAAATGTAAATCACATGGCTAATTAATTCCTATTTGGCTTTTTGCTTTTTGCTTTTTTCTATGACAACGTTATTGCAATTAGGTGTATACAGTCACGGCTTCTATGAGTTAAGTAGTATGGTAATGAGGAAAAATGTAAACAATGACGTCAGCAAAGATTCGCCTATAATAATTAATTAACTTTTTCTTTCTCAGTGATCGCAGTGATCACAGGGATCGTAGCGATCATATGGAAACCGGGCTTAATCTATCGCAATAACCATCCACCCTTCCTCCTCAACTGCTACCTGTACGCCTTACAAACATATCGAATGCACTCTTCTAAGCTCCGATTACTCCTAGTTAATTCATAATCAAAAGTTGTCATATTGGCCTATAAGGGGCGTGTGTTAGAGTATAATAAGATTAAGGGTAGAACTGAATACAGCTGCCTCTGATCACTCCATGAGTAGTACAGGAGGGATCGGTTACTCCCCTTTTTTTATGTGGAATCTCATTAGTTTGAAGTGGAATAAATTAAGGCTAATGACGTCATAACCTTTTGTCTTTATCTCATGAATGAAATGCGCAGGAATCTCATAAAGATAAGGTCATGTGCTATTTTTAGGTGGATGATGCCATACTTTGTTTTCAGTAGGCGAAGAGCAAGTGACGTCAAAATATCCTAGGGGTTCATGTTATCAAAATAATGTTGAGATCATAATCTATGGATAGAAAAGTGATATCGTGTCCCTACTTGGTCATGAAGATGTCATAGTTTATTGTTCTTGAGCTCCATACACTGGAAAAATTAACCATTATTTATTTATTTTTTAGTAGAAGATTTTTCAGGTTAAGTGACTTAAAATAAAACCCTTTTCGGCTTCTTAAAACGGCTACGAGAGAGAGATTTCCTCAATTTCCTTGATTGTTGATGATCGTCTTTGGTTTCACTCTGTAATTCAAACTGGCAACTTGCCGTCATTTCTTCAAATCTTACAAATACCGATGTCATCGCTGTTAGCTCGGGATATCAAACCGAGACGTTTGAGAGATGGCCCTTGCTTTAAAATGTGTAAATAACTCAACGGTATATCGTTGGTATATCTAAAAATCGGTATATCTAAAAATAAACATTCTGATTTCCACATGTTTGGCGGTTTCGTAAGCGTCAGAATTAAGAGAAGAAGGGCAGCGACTTGAAACTTCTCACAGATAATATTCAATGAAAATTGAGACAAAATATACCTAAAATGCACGGCGGGGGATCTAGTTCAATGCGCATTAAAACCCCCTCCACATCTTCGAGTTGTACAAATAATACATTTGTTACTAATGAGTGAAAACCCGCCCAGAAGGACACTCTTGAGACTCGAATAAAAAAATACATAAATCTTCCGAGCTAACAACGATGACATTGGTATCTGTAAGATTTGAAGAAATGACGGCAAGTCACCGGTTTGAATTACAGAGTGAAACCAAAGACGATCATCAACAATCAAGGAAATTGAGGAAATGTCTCTCTCGTAGCCGTTGTAGGAAGCCGAAAAGGGTTTTATTTTAGATTTTAAGTCACTTAACCTGAAAAAGCTTCTTCTACTAAAAAAATAAATAATCGTGGCAATATAATACAGTTACAGAAAGAAACAGCTTGCCTTCCTCCATCGTGCTCACTCCTTCGGGAAACTAAAGTAAAAGTTTTACTAGAAAATTAACGTACAAGTAAAAAACATTACACTCAGTCTGCACAGTCCGCACAGTCTGCACGGTCTGCACAGTCTGCAGTCTGCAGTCTGCATGGTCTGCATTTCAACATGACCGCCAGCAATGGCACTAGCTTTCAGGGAATGTACAAACTTTGAAATGCATAATGGGTTTAACATAGAACTGAAGCCACATCAGCACATTCAAGCAGTACAATGAAGTGATACAGAACTCTTTAATCAATATTTACATTCTTTTCCTGAATATAAACAATGTTTACCGCAAAGCTAGGATACTGCATTTTTCAAGTCATGATTTACAAGTCTTTACAGCATGCATCTGCTCTTTACTATCTGTTAAGGTTTTTTAAACACATCACATCACAACACCTAAACTCATGAAAAGGAATTGCATGAGCCCTTTATTCCTCAAAAAATCTAGTAATAAGGCCTTGACATACAGATTACAATTATCGGTAAACTAAAATGAATTTAAATTACACTTCAAAACAAAAAGGAACTTTTTTTATATAATGGGTGAAGCTGAGGTCCATTTAGTCCTTTGAAAATGCAGCTATAAATATAACTCCTCTTTATAATGTAAAGTGAGCATCAAATAGATGAGTAGTTTATAGCTGTTTCAGTCTTTCACAGTTTTTAAAATCTTAATGTCCTTTGTGGTGAGATTTGCCAAGTCAGAACCATCTGTGAATGACACATAATTGTTGTTGAGGGCAGCTGCTAATGCCGTATTGTTAATGTAAGTATTCTTATCCTGACCTCTAAGAAGGGATAACCCAAACATTTTCTTTAAAGGCTGTAAATGCTTCGCCAACTGTATATCACGGATACTGCACTTCTCCAGCACTGCCAAGAGAACTGCTTTGCAACTGGACTAAGTCAAATCTAAAAGAAAAATGTGAATGGTGCACATTAATAAATTAATTAACTAATAATGATGATAATAAATATTAACAGTATATAACTGTATTTCTCAGAAATACCATATCAACTGTGCATTTTTTCTTTTTTTATCATAAAGTTTAATATGGCGTTTTATTGCACCGTATCAAAAAGTCTAGAAAAATTCTAATAGATAGAAACAAGTACTTCTCCATACCCTAATTTATTACTGCTTCACACTTATATCTTGGACTCCTCTGTTTATTCATATGGGACAGTGACCAACACGAAAGCTTTGGCTACTTTGGTCACTGTCTGCACATATCACCACCCTGTTTATCATATTTACTTTTAACCATTTGTTAACCTACTGTTTCTTCCTAAGCCATCTTATGCTGTATCAACTTGAATAGTGAGCAATAAACTTGAACTTGACTGCATTGTGGCTTAAATCTTCTGGGAAGTTACAATGTAGAAGGACAGGTAAACAGTGGATGTTCTTCTTGTTAGAAAGAGTTTTTAGGTAAAACTTTAGACTAACCTGGGTGAAAGTAGTCTGCATACATTTTGATCTTTTTCATAGATGATGGAGGTGATGAGCTTGAGCTGCTGCTTGAGTCTTGAACACTTTCAGCCTCACCATTGCTTTCATTTGCATCTGAAGTAGCCCCCCTCTGGAGTGCAGTATCTTTGAAACTTCGCCTTCTCTCTCTCATATGGCCATGACCATTTCTCGAATGGCATTTGCACCAAATGCGCACTGTGGGAAAATGTATTTAGATGAATCCTTGCCTTCACTTAACCGTTTCACAAAAGGGAAAGCGTGATTTTTTTAAGGGCCGCAAATAAAGCATTTATAGGAGATCCGTACATAACCGACTTGTCCTTGGGTGAATCCAAGTGTGTAACAGAGGGTGGTTGACCTGTGGCAGAAGCAGTGTCAGTCATTGAGAACATCTGATAAGCCATGGAAAAAAGCATTTTTATGTCACTGTTAATCAAAGCAGGTTTTCTCTAAAAGCATTCAAGCTTTGTTTGAGGAGGCCAAAATGAGGACTACGTTGTGAACGGAAGGCAAAATGAACTCATTATTTTAATTTATGGAAACTTCATTTATATATTAAAGAATGCTTACATATTAACAGAAATGTCTACAGCCAGAGGAAATCAATCTAACAAATTGCAAAACTGTTTTTCTGGTTAGCTAAGTCACTTTGCAACGAGACAGTTTAGTCAAATAACATGAACGTGAACAGCATGCTTTAATTTGTAAACTCGTAATTCAGCTTATGGACCTTCTGATATTCGGTTGCTTTGTACATTTACCCAGCCGCGAATTAAACTGCCAAGTAACTCTTTTATAAATATCTTTTCACTTACTTTTGCAATTGTGTAATCTGAAAAATTGTAACACTGAACTACCGCTGTAATAGCAAAAGGAACTTAGGACGCTGGTTGCAATAGAACGGTAACGAGGAATGACTTGGTAACAAACCATAACAAGTATCCACCAACTAGTTTTGCTTCGCATATCCCTAATTTCATTACAAATTGTAAGCAAAGTATTATAATCTTTGTCTCATTTTCAATAACCTTGAATGAGTGCAACCATTGTCCTAGAAATGTAAAGAGAATATGAACGACGTTACAACGCTAGTGCTTATTGCATAGTCAACTAAATTTCACTTTATAACTTACAGTTGATGGAGGCCAAAAAGCCCCTATTGATTGAGAAGCAACCGCATGGTATGCCCCACACCTAATGCAAGCAGTTATCCTGAAACTTGTTAGAAAGGGCAGGTATCGCCTCAAAATGAAAACACAAACCAGTACTTAGTAATAATAGTTTTAAATTTTAACTACATGCTCTGCTTGCTGAGTTTCAACTCTTTTACTCGTAAGAAGTGCTTCCGGCATGGATTGTTTTACAGTGTTGTTCATTTATAGTGAAATGTTCAGCTGCTGGAAGAGGAAATCTTTATGCTCCTTGTTCAGACGTTGCTTGACAATGGGATGAATGTCTAATTGTGCTCCGTCAAAGGTAGCTCTACTGATGCTGTTTCCTTTCTGAACGCAAGAGATATTTACATGAAAATAGACAGCCTGTTCCTTTCCAACTCTCAAGATCCCGCTATTTCTATCTTTCCAGGGTTGGTGCTCTTTGTGTGTAATGGCGACGTCATGCAGAGGAGGAAAGAGTCCACCATCGGCCTTTCGAGCGAATTTGATTCCACATCCTGTACAAGTTGTCACTCGGGGATGATCAGACAGGAACACAAGAGAATACGAATTGATGCCCTCACGATGCCCTTCGTCTGTCTGTGCTAGACTTTCTTGCAAGACTTCGTGTTCTCCATTTCTTTGAACAATCTTCATTTTCACGGGCTGGCGATTGTGGGATGGAGTTTGCAGTCTGTCTACATGTTCAACATTGAAGTTCTCTGTCCCCTTGGTCTTCTTCGCTCTTTTTCGTTGATGTGGCTTTTTACCATCACTGCCAACATCCAGCCCATAAGTACACATTTTTGTCACACTTGTCTGCACACCAGTTTTCTTGTGCCATGTTACGAAATCTACGAGTTTGCCCTTGAATTCTACTCCCGCCAGTGTGTGAGCACAAAGACTGGAATGGTTGTATGCGGGACAGTCATCATCGTAACAGAATGTACCATTTTTGCATTGCCTTATAACATGTGGTTTCGCTGATGTATCAGATGCTACCAATAGAGTATCGTTTACCCCAAAGCCACGTCTAACTTTGTTCATTCGCAAGAGCCTCTGGGCCTTAGAGAACTGATGAGATAAAATGCTTTCTGGGATACCAGAGATCCCAGACTGTGTATGTGATATGGAGAGTGTGGAAAGTGTTTGTGACATGGGACCACTTTCTTTGGCTTTTTTGGTGTATGCTCTTCTCTCCGTAGGATTCATCTTTCTCCTCTTTTCTGGGGATATCTTCAGGAGCTTACATTCATCTGACAGTCTGCATTCCCCCTGGTCAATGATTGCTCCTTCACAAGTTCATGGCTCTTTTTAATAAGCGTTACGAGGTTCACACGTTTGCGGTCCGTCTTGAGCTTTAACAGGTGGTTTTCTGCTTCATTGTCGTTTATTGTGTATAGGGAATCCCCAAGTCCTCCCTTTTGTCGCGTGGGTTTCAGCATCGATGCGTTGATTGTGTCAGCGACATTTTTGACAAAGGAGTCGTAGAATGTGGGAGTTTGGTATGTGATTTCCCATTCGCGAGCATTCCAAACATCCTCCAGCGAGCACAGTTTTGCATAAAAGTCATCCGAATCATCGGAATCCACAATTCCATGATACGAGATAGCTGCTGCATTATGACCAAATGTTGTCGAGAAATTCATTTTGGTAACACCCATTTATGCCTATACTGGAGAGTTTCATTTCAATGTTTTTACGCAGGTGGATAAAACAACGATGATGGTCAGCCACAGGGAACTCTTCATTGAATGCATTTGACAAAGCACGTTCGCCATCAGTTCCAAGGCTTGAAGCGACACGGTGTTTGGATTGAATTGCTTGACTGATGACGCTAAATATCAGTAAGTTTGTTCCGTTTTGCTCTGATGAACAAGCATGGGACCAAGGAAAACAGGTGATTTACCTGTTATTACGTAAACAATTTTGTGGCACCTGTAGGTCGTTGGAGTCACGCTAAAATTCCCAAGACTGAATGTCGAATCAATACCAAGAACTTAAAAAGCGTCTTCCTGACAACAGTACAGCTCGATATCTTTTAGCTGCCTGTCAGTGGCAAGAAAGGCCATAGGCTCCGCTGCACCAACTACCTCTCTGACATAACCATCTTTCGTTTTGCACTTTTCCATAGCTTTAAGCAAGATACAGGATGTTGCCCAGTATCCGGACGGTACCAGTAGCCGGACACTTAAAACAAAAACTCAATTTTTGAGGCAACCTTTTCAGTTATCGGTAAACGAAGTGTTTCGAATGAAAGCTGAACATTTCAGCTTTAAGATGAAGGTTTTGGCGAGTTGAAAGTTTGCAAAACAGTCGCAGAAGACGCCGTTTTGTTCAGGTGAATAAACATTTCATGGCTAATATTTACGCTGTTTACTGCGCAGTAAAATTAGTGCTGCTCAGAAAAGGGTAGGTAATATGTGATATTTTCAAAGAAACTGTTTTATATTTAAAGTGAAGATACTTAAAGAAGTCAGGTTCTCAGAAAGTTTATTAATTCTTCTTGAAATTCGATTTGTTTGGAATAACGGAGCCCAGAAACATTCACTAAGTATTGATATCAGGTGCCCAGTATCCAGACAGTTTTTTCTTTGCTGTACAGAATCGATGAATTAGCTGTGTACATTATCCGGATAACATTTATTTCATATCTAAAACTATAATTAAAGCTTAGGATATATGATATAGTCGTAAAATGTAACTCTACTCAACTGCGTAGGGAAATTTTCTTCACTCATTTGGAGGCGACTTGATTTGTGTGCACCGCTTGTTTCGCGTGACTGCATTTCCTATATATAACCGAAAGCGTCGGAGTTGAACCTGGAATTCTCATACTTTCCCCAGTTGTGACTGCTAGAATGGGGTTCAAACGGTCTGAAAAATGTCACAAAGGGATTTAAAGATGTGAAAGAAGGAGGAATTAGTGCTAGAAAAGTAGGCTTATTGTAGGGTCTGTAGGGACCGAGCATGAAGAAATCAACACTGCAGGTCAGACTAAATAGGAGAGTGACCTTTGACCGTCGCATTGAGGTGCCTTCCCCAACTTTTTTTTTTTTAAATAAAAAATGAAGAAAAAAGTTGTTTGCAGATGGGCTAATTGAGCTATTAACCATGGCTTCGGCATGTCCATGGATGCCTTCCTTAAATCAGTGAAAAAGTTCCTAGACAAGGAAGTAAGAATTATGCCATTTAACAATCGCTCGCGTTCCCCACGATACCCCAGTCATTTGTTATGTTTTATTTCACGATGCTAGGTTATATTTTTGGTGTCGATTGCCAGACTACATTGCAAGTGCAAGGGAAACTTATAAGTTACTTGCCTGTCGAAATTTGTTGTACAATTACATTGTTATTGTTGTGTCCGGATACTGGGCAACATAGGAGCTCTGCAAAAATATTAATTTCGCGATGGAAACAAAGGCAAAAAAGTTAAACTGTCTTTCGTCATATTAAGGACTAAATAGATTTTCTCTGGGCCAAATTTCATAGCTCTTGCGACTAACAAAGGAAAGTTATTGCAATGTTAAACTGAAGTGTCCGGATACTGGGCAACATACTGTATCTCTACTGGAACTGGCTGACGGCATAAAGATGCCGAAGTAGACGAAAATACGTTCTGCACCTGTCTGGAATTCGCGACAAATCACTCTTGAAATACCAACTACTAATTCACGATCAAAACTTTTTAATTAGGCACTGTTATTTGTGATTACCCTGAATAAAGATGATGATTCCAATGTTGAGAGCTGTTGCGTGACTAGCGGCGCACGACACCCACGCGTGTGTTTGAGAAAATAAAGACACATGACTAGAAATGGCCCGTTTGTCTCCTTTTGTCCCTTTTGGCCTGGTTTTGGCTTTTCAGGCCTGGTTATGGCCTTTCTGGCCTGTGTTTGGCCTTTCTGACACTCTATATAACCTGACTATTTGCGAAAAAAGATGTAATTTGTGTTGAGCAATCGAACTGTCAACATGGTTTACAAGAGAGTTCGTAGAAACTGTCCTATTTCATCGAGTGGGGCGAGGTACCTTGTAAGATTAGCTAACCATCTCGTGGATGTTCATCAGTTAGACCACATACAGCAAAGACAGTATTTACAAGAGGCGAAACTGCAACCTAAAGTCAAAGTCGTCGTTTACGAAAGTGAAGCGGATAATTCCGGAAAAAAATCAATATCGCAATCCAGTACAGACACAAGAAATGGTGTACTGCGAACTGTCAAGATCACAGAGAAATGAAGCCTCTTTTGAAGCAAAAGCTAAAAGACCGCTACGAAGAACAAGACAAAGCGCAAGAAACAAAGAAAGTCGAACTCTTGGCTTCGAGGCAATAGGAAAATTGTGTAGACACGGAAGGATTATTTATTATTCCTCGAAATAGAACGGAAAAAAAACTGATTTGTAATAGTCAGTCAAACGATTAATTTTCATTCCTTTTCCTTTCAAATCGCTGTGTATTTGACTCTTTTTGTTATTGACTTTGAATAAAGTTTTTAAAACGGTATCTCTCTTGTGGTTTTATCGCTAGCAATTATTAGTCGTGTGTTCAAATTGATCCTTGTTAAGTTATTTAAAATTGTTTATATAATAATACGTCAAGGTGCTCCCGTGGGTCTAGCTGTAGAGATCAACTAATTTGTATGCAACTTTTGGCTTGTGACCTCGCATAATTAACGGACTAACGGCGTGCAAGACCATAAGCTCATCAAGCGCAAGGGTTAAGACTTCAATAGTTAGTCGTTTCCTCGACATGGAACGGAGAAAACGCTTTTGTAATGGTGAGTCGAAATTGAAATAGAGAGTTTTCAGCTCCACTTTGTGTATGTGTGTGTGTTTTGTTTATATATGCGATTTTTAGCACTAAATAAGAAGACATGTGTTGCCAGGCGATCGCACCTCTTATTCCTATCTTTTTTTTAAATAGACGTTCCACTTCTTCGTTACTAGAATGGAGTTTATTCAAGAACCAAAAGAGTTAGGGTTTACTTTAGAACCACCTGTTGTTTTCTATAGAATTTTTATACCCTGTGCAATACTTTTTACAGAGTCAAGTAAACAAAGATTGACATTTTTGCTTGATAGGCAGTTTTTCGCTTCGCTGAGCTTCGACCTCGTTTTCATGTTTTGCCTGAAAAATTAGTACGATTTCGCATTCGTTTAACCTCCTTTTCGCTTCTTTTGAAGTAAAGATTTTTCAGTTAACCTCCGTGTCTTGGTTTTGTTTATAACCGATTTTTACTGAAAACAATTTAATGATTAAAGATTTTTCATTTACTATAATCTGCAAGGATAACACGTTCAAAATTTGCCCGCTTTTATTTTGAACACATGACAGTTTCTACAATATCCAATCAGAAGACTAGAGCAAACAATATCTAATCAGAAGACTATAGCAAATAGCTAATTATATAAAAATCACTTTTCTGTTTATAGATTATGATCTCAACATTTTTTGATGACGTCAACTCTAGGAAATTCGGAAGTCACTTGCTCCTTGCCAGCTACAAATAAATTATGACATCATCCTATCTATATGACATGCATGACGTCAGCCAGCTAAAAATAAACTGTGACATCATCCTATCTGAATGAGATGCATGACGTCATCTGCATTAATTTATACCGCACAAAAAGTTAATTAAATCCGCAAAGAAAAGGAGTAACCGGTGCCTCCCCTACTACTAATGTTTTTTACATGGCAGGGTCCTAAAATCGTGCAAAGTGCGAAGCCCATCAGAAAAAGACCACAAACGTTTTTCTAAGCCCCCGCTTTCGGCTCTGTGTTTTTCCACCATATCACGGAAAACACTGTAAACTGATTAACCAATAATAGCAGCAAAGCTGGCTAACAGGAGAGGGATAAAAGTGGGTGCATTGCCAGACGCGATTGCCTTTTTAGGCACCTTGTAAACAGGTATGATATCCTTGATGTTGCACAGGTCATCTTGACAGTATCTTATCTCACATGCAGCCAGTTTGTACCCACCACGCTCGGTGTTGTTCTTTGCATTCTGACAAGACTTTGTCTTGAGTTCTTCACGCTGAGCCTGTTGGTTTAGGAGAGATTAATGCCATTTTTATATTTGTTCACAAGTTCTCTGTAATATTGCTTGTGAACTGTTCTAGTAGCTTCTTATGCTGTAAGATAAGCTCCGTTGAGGTTTTTTCGCGGGCTTCTGTTCCCTGGTTATCTTCCCTGATTGTCTTACCTTCATGTTATTGATCACGTCAACTCTTTAGTGTAACCTTAAAATACGTCCCCTTGGTCGCTTTTTTTGTCTGTAACTATCATCCTTGTCGTTTTTTGACAACAGAAACAAGGAAGTTACCTTATGAACAACTCAAGTTGAAAACTACTAAGTGCATGAAATATTACTATGCTACAGTGTTTTTAGCATCTAAAGTAGAAGTATATATGTACGAGGAATTCAGCAACAGGTGAAGGTAACACCTTTGTGTCCCAGGGGTTAAGTGTCATTGTCAGAGAAAACCGGACAGGAGCAAAAGATCGAGGTCCGCGTTTGACCTCCACCTTTTTACCATATAAAAGCCACCTGAAAAGATTATCAACGGTGGTATTTTCAGAAGTTGGTGGGTTTTTTATTTTAAGATAAACATTTTCTAAAAAAGATTGACTTTCGGCCAACTTTTGTCGAACCTACATGAAAGAAAGCAAAGTCAGAAAA